TTGCAAAGTGTTTAACTTTTTGTGATGAAATATTCCAATTGGATCAATTTAAGGTGGCTTCAAACACTGCAAATATTTTTATGTGTCTTCAATGATTTGTTTGATATTCTGAACTCAGGCACTTTAAACACTTATGGCCTGAAGCGTCTAATGACACTTAATAACTCTAATCGGTTTAAGAAATTTCTAGACAAAGCAAAAAAATGTATTGGCGCTTTAAAAGTAAAATATCAGAAGGGGAAAAATTTTGTCTCCGTTTTGCTACGAAGAGAAAAGTTGGATTTCAAGGCTTTTTAATAGCTATTCAGTCAGTTCAAGTCTTATTTGATGAATTGGTGCGCAACCAACCCGGCACGGTTCGACTGTTCGCGCGACGGTACGTCGCGCCCGGCTCGCATCTTGTGTTAGCGCTTGGACGAGTAAGGTACTTCTAAACATTGTTCCTTGGCTTTTGTTTTTGAGCCGTGCACTATGTTTGTCGAGTGTGTTTTCATCATTGATGTTAGCGCGCGCCAGAGTTTGGGGTTGTCGTGTCATAAGGATGGCCTGTTGTAAAGTATATGTGTGTTCCGAATCTAGTGTTTTCAGTGAATACTCATGTGAGGATTGAACGATGGTCAAGGATAAAAACAACCACTTGTTTACGCTGGGCTGGCCAAACTCGGAGTGAGCGAGTGGGGAGAGAGTTTATTGATTGTCCACAGGATGCCGGTGGTCTTGCATACGATTCGTGGAGAACGGTAAATGTGTGGATATGTTTAAATTAAGTTGTATTTCTCAAATGTTGCGAGAAAAGGTTCATGTTTTCAACGTATTACGCGTCATTCAACCAAGCGCCCTTACCCTGCGGTGTCACCGATAAGAACAGTAGCGATGGTGGCACATTGAAATTTGAAACTATTTATTCTAAACTAGTGAGTGAAGGCCAGAAAGAAGCTGCGGAAGGAAGAATTGAGTCTGCGAAGTTTGCTGGATCAAATTCAAACACACAGCGAAATGGCGCCGATGGCGGAAGAGGGAGAGGAGGCGGTGGTAACCATAACAACCATGGCGGCGATCAAAACGAATATGGCGGCCAGCAGCAGAAGAAGAGAATCCGGTGCAAAACTTGCAACAAATTTCATCTCGGCAAGTGCTGGTACCTGGGAAATAACTCATGATGGCCAGGAAGGCACCCAAGTCTAACCGTTACATCACGTCAGAGTCAGCTGATTTCCGTTTAAGTGCGGTTGTTGGAAAGCAAAATTTGGGTGAGTCATACAGTCAGAAATCATTATTAGAAAGTAATCTCAGTCCTGGCATCCCCTATCATAAAAAATACATACAGGATGTTGATAAAAATACCAGCAAAAGACAGCAGCTTTACAAGATTCCAGAAACTAAAAAGAAAAAAATTGACACTACAAGGAGGCGGACTCTTCTAAAGAATGCAACAGAAAAAAAAAAGAGGGCACTACCTATGAGTCACAAATGGCATTGTTTCAGGAGGATGGTATTGGCTTATTGCCAGATATACCTGAAGAAAATAGTGTAGTAGTGTAGTACTTAAGGCTGATGGACTTTTTGTTACTTTGTTGGAAGCATTGTCGATGTACTCTCCTTATGTGATCTTTCATTTGATGTGTTAATTTTAAACTTTTAAGTTTGACCTCGGTTGAGAGCGTTTCTTATGTACACTTTATAACCGAAATATACCAATACCAATAACTTCAGAAGGAGTAGAAAGTAGGGAAGGGGTGGAAGAAATTAAATGAGTAGTTCTATTTGATTTAGAAACAAGTGGTCTCAAGGGGGAAATCTTGCAGATTGGTGCTAAATGTGGAAGTTGTACTTTCAGTTGTTACATCAAGCCGAAGGGGCCTATCCCTTCTGATGTAACAGCCATTACTAAACTCTCAACTTCTGGTGGGCAACTGCACAGAGGCACACATCTTGTGCCGACTGTTTCTCTGCAAGTTGCTATGCAGCAGTTCGTACATTACCTGACTTTACTTCAGAAAATGGTTTATTTCTGTTCCCACAATTTAGCATTTGATGGATCAAAACTACACAAAGCACTATGTGAGTGTAATTTTGAGGATAAATTTCTAGCAGTAGTGAGGGGTATGTCTTGCTCACTTAAGATTATTAGAAACATGAGAGCAAAGACTGAAAAAAATAGTATAGAGGTGCTAACCACATCATTAGGTATAGAATATGTTGATGGGCATGATGCACTCAGTGATACCCAGATGCTTGCACTGATAATCAAAAAACTGGATATATCTGATGATCTTATTACTTCATCAACAGATGCCTACAATTTAATTCAAAAGTACAAACCAGATGAAATCTTGAGTCATAAATGCAAACAACTTTTGAGTGATTGCAAACAAAATGTATCTCAAGAAAATATCCCAGTAGGTAAAGAAATTGTTAAAAAGATTATATCCTCTAATATTTCAGTAGCCTGTCTACAGAAGGCCTACAATTTCAACACAAGAGTTGAAACAGTTACTTTGCCAGCTCGAGTTATTGGCACTACTGTAGACAAATTATATTGAATCTTTAGTGCTACTCATAAAGAGGTACAGGTACAAGCAGTTGCCTTCTCCTTTGCTTCAACCAAACCTACCAGCTCCCCACACTGAAGAAAGAGCATCATCACCAGATCTAATATTAGAATTTTTGTCAAATGGACAAGAGTTGTCATACCGTCAGCTTACTCATTCTCATCTGTGATCTATAGTATTGTTTTACTTCTTTCATCCTTAAAAGTCACTAATTGAATTTATAGAATTCCATTAAATAGTGTTTTTAATATATTCCCTCCAATTGTAGTCAAGCATGTATTTTGTGCCATTATTTAAAATAGTGTTTTAAGTCACAAGAATTTTTATAATGATACTGAATAGTTTTGATTAAAATTATTTCCTTTGCAAAGAGATACGGAGAATCATTACATTAATTGTACAACATACCCAAGTCCAGATGTTTTCCTTAAAACTTTCCCGTTACTTTACACGATTGCATTTTCAATTTGAAACAGATAACATAGGCTTCAAATGACTAAAAGGTGTATCAATGTGTATACAGAAGGATAATTCAGTCATTTAAGAAGAGTAAAAGCTAGTGGTACTTAAAATGTTTCCTGTTTACTCAATGTTCCTTTTTCAACACACAAGTTTTGATACTCAAAAGTATTAAATAGGCTCAGGAACATACCCAAGACCAGATATTTTCCTTAAAACTTTCCCGTTACTTTCCACGATTGCATTTTAAATTTAAAACAGACATCATGGGCTTCGACTGACTAACAACTATACATGTAGGTAGACATCAGTAAAATTCAATCATTTGAAAAGTAAAACGTAGTGATATTTAAAATGTTTCCTTTTACTCTGTGTACCTTTTCCAGCTAGCACCCCAATCTTGATACTTAGAAGTATTAAATTCTGGGACAGAGTGAAAAATGTGTCCAATAAAATTTTGACTATAGTTTACACAAAGACCTTTTACTTTTCGACCAGCGCGAGCAATGAAATAAACATTTAGTACGTTTTAAAAGAGAACTTACAGCACATTTGTTTTTCCAGTCCATGCACACATATGGTTTTGAGGAAAATTAGTCTTACCCATGGCATGCAAAGTGAAAGAAGTGCACAAAACATACCACAAAGCAAAGCGTTTTGATCAGGGAGCTTCATCACTACCTACGTTTGAAAGCGAGGCGGGAGGGGAGGGGGAGTGGGTGGGGGCACGGTGGGGCTCCCTGCTGGGGGCGGCGTTGCCACTCTGCGGGGGCCCTGGCCGCACGCAAAAAAAAGAATCATTGTACCAACGACATGAGTTGCTCCTCCAACAACATTTTGTTCTTGGAATGGCTTCAGAAACATAGGATGCTATTCCAACGACCATGATTGCTGGCTCAACGAGATGGTCGGTGGCACAACTACCGGCTGTCATAGGGTTAGCAGCATCGTGTCTTTGGACCAACAACCCGGCCACAAGAACACGACGGTCGTTGGAACAATGATTCTTTTTTTTTCAGTGCGTGTAGCTGTCGCATGGACTTGTTTAAAATGAGATTTCTTTTGAAATTTGCACAAACGGACAATGAAACCACACTCTACGTGATCCTGAAGCATTACTGCACACGAATCGAATCCTTGTTCCAGGCCTGGGTTACATTTCCCCCTTCTCAATACTGCTTCGGTTTTTGTACGTAAGTTACAAAATCTTACGTAGCTACGTACCAAAAAAAACAAAACAATAGCCCCTCAGTGTGCAGGCGCGATGGGCATTTTACAACGATTCAAAATTTTTACAGTGACAGTAGAGTGTCGCACCTTTGCGACGCGCGGCGGAGCGAGGCAAGTCCGGAAATCCCGCGCTCCGGGAAAATATGCTTTCGCCTTGCGTCCCCCGCCCCCCCCCCCTTCAGCATGTTCACAGGATTTAGTAAGCTATGAACAAAACCGTTCATAAGATTTTAGTGTGTACGAGTGACATAGTATTGTGGGTCGTGCACTCTAAACCTTTTGCAAAGAGTTTGTTCGTATAATGCAAAGAATTTTGTGCAACCGTAATATACAGGAAATTTCCTTGTATTACTAGAAATTTCCTTGAATTACACAAAAGTTTTCTTTGTATTACAATGATTTTTCTTTGCATTACAAAGAAAATTTGGCTTTGTATTACGGTCGCACAAAATTCTTTGTAATACAAGAATTTTCTCTAAGAATTTAAGAGTGTGGGTTCGAATGCTCGAAAGTTGGCTTAATTATGTACATATTGTTAACTAAACATGTTAAAGTTTGTGTATTAACTATAAATGCATACCTTTTTTTATTTATGCATAAAAATACACATTTATGTCTGATTTCATTCATAAACCCATACGCAAAAATTACTCCGCACTAAATCCGAAAGGTCTTTTTCGTCCATAAAAAGATGCGTTTTTGTGCACATCTCAACCGGATGCAGATCGGAATCTAGCAAGTGGGGAATTTGCATCATGATGGTGGACAAAAAAAAAGGGTCCAGAAAAAGGATGCCAATTCGTCACTTGCTGCATTCAAAAATGTGCATCCGGTTGAGATGACCACAAAAACACGTCTTTCCAGGGACAGTAAATATCCTTTCAGATTTGGTGAGACGACATGTACCAGAAAGAAATTTCCCAGTTACTGTGCGCACACTAACTAGGTACATTTTGGTATGTCGTATAGTGATTTGTGCGTATGCACGTAATCAGACATAAATGTGTATGATTGTAATGGTACAGAACACAATAAAGCTGTAGGGGTTGTTGTTGTTTTTGTTGTTGTTGTTTTTTTTTTTGGGGGGGGGGGGTCAAGCTAAACATGTCTAAATTTTAACTACATAGCTAAATAGTTATTCCTCATTCTCATTTAGCCATTGGTTTAGCTGTGTTGGAGGTTAATAATTTTTCTCCTTACAGAATAGGAAGGGCGTCGCGTCGTGGTTGGGGTGGTGGTGGAGGGCGAGGGACGCAATAAGAACGCGGCAGATTATGATTATGTGGTCGTTGTTGGCGTCGCGCGGGGTTGGCGCCCCTCGTGGGGCACCTGTTGGAAATGACCATTTACCAACAGCAGCAGTTAGTAGCGGTTTTGAGCTCGGCGACGATCTTGTCTACGACAAAGACGCAACTAGAATCTCTTTGCCAGGAGCACGCACCCCCACTCCGCCCTCTCTCCATTCACCATTAGCGTCCCGGTCCCGCCCCGCCACGCCGGCCGATCGTAATCACGCGTCAGACTACCGCCTTACGCGTGGCTCTGTTTATTCAGTGCCGGTCATTTCTGATTTGAGCCGGTAGATTGAAGGTGGGCCTGGGCCGGACCGGCCCGGGAGTGGAGGAGCGGGGCTGGAGGATGGCAGAGGAAATGACAGAGTCCCCCTCGCACCTCTTCTCTCTCTCTCTCTCCGGGGCTCGAGCAGTAGCGGAGAGCTTCCCGGGTAAAAGTGAGGCGCTCCCGGGAGAGAGAGAGAGAGAGAGAGAGAGAGAGAGAGAGAATGACAGAGACGGCGAAAAAAAATAAAACATTGAAGAACCAAGGCGCTGGCCGCACGGTACTCGCGCGATATGTGTCCGCCCCGCTGTACCTACGCGCTGTACTGGAGTGTGGGACGCGTTGGGACGCCCCCTCCTGTGCGGAACTGTGAGG